GCATGTATAACTTTATATATCTATATATATATATATATATATATATTATATAAAGTGTTTTGTTATACAAACTATAAGATATGAGATTCATAATTTTATTTTATAATAATTTTATGACTATGTAACAATAATTATAATAGCTTTTTTATTTGATAAAATGTGTTAATTATTATACATTTACTAGTTTGAAAAGATAATGTTTGAATATTTTGAGGTTTGTTTTTTTATGAAATAAAATAATGATTGTATTTATCTAGGAATGCTTACTAGTCTACTATCACCACCATCACATGATAATGGATGCAATTATTTCCGTCGGCCCGGTAAAATTAAAGCAATTAGAAGTGAGGGATTTTTTTTTTTTTCTTTTTTAACAGTTTTATCATGGGGCGGGTTCGAAACCCGCCAGAGGAGGAGAATGTGCACGTTTCAATGACTTTAACCACTGGGCCACACGAGCCAAGTGCTAGAAGTGAGGGATTGATCGTTGAAAATTTGTAAAGAATGCATGCCATTAAGACAGCCAAGGACTTGCCCCATGTGCATGTGTTACACTAGCCAACTTATAAAATGAAGATTAAAAATAAAAAAAAAAAAACTCAAGTTAATTACTCCATCTGTTTCACATTATCTGTCGTTTTAAGGTTTTACACATTAATTAAGAAAGCAATTTATTATTTTTAATTTTAGGGATATATAAACTTAAAATACTATTTTACTCTTTTGATAGAAATAAGAAAAAAAGGACAGATGAATCAGTGAAGTGAAAGAGTACATTTTACAAAAAAAGGGTAAATTTGAAAAAAAAATTAATATAACAATGATATCCTAAAACGTCAGTTATTTACGCAACAACAGGTAATGTAAAACAGAGGGAGTAAATGTTAAAAAGGTGCGTATTACAACAACGGCACCTTTAACCTTGGCTCAAAGCACTGAGGTTACAATCTTATTTATACCTCTTTCTTCCCTATTTTTCAAGCCTTAATTAAGAAGTTTCAATGAAAACTTCAAAATATGAATAAGGCGACAAAGTGTTCATACATATTGGTTTTTTTATTTTTTTTGTTTAAAAAAAAAAAAACAATTTCCCCAAAGTGAATCTATTCCTTACATGACGGAGCATGCATTCACATTATCATCACTGAAGTAGGAAATAACATTTTCTTCAGGTGCATCGGAGGCTGCCGGAAAACCTTGTACGACGTTCCGAACGAATCCGGCCGGCGCCCTTTTGTCGTAGACACCCGACGCATGAGGATAGTGAACTATGTGCTGTGGGATATATGGCCAAAACTCAGCTGCCCTCTTGCCTGTACTCTTCACCCTCTTTAACACCCTGTTCGGATCAACATAACCACTAACTGTTACCCTGCTCAGCTTTCTGTTCACCTCAACATTCTTCACACCTGCTTGGATAAAAAAAAATAAAATTAATAAGATCTTCAAATTGTAAAATAAATTTGATAAAATCATACATATCTAGTTGTTTTCATTACAGAACCTTTCATGTTTCGAACAGCATTCTTGACTCGTCTTTCACAACCATCACAATCTATCTTCACCTTAATCTCAACCGTCTGAAAGAACAACAAACAGCTTTAGAAAACATTTATAAATAGCCAAAAAAAAGAAAAAAAAAAAGAAAAAAGGAAGCACTGAATGAAAAGAGTACTACAAAAC